GTTAGGTTGCTTTGCCGGGATAATTTCAATTGAAGTGCCCTTCCCGGGGCTTGCACACGTTTTTACCTAACAGCTCTTGCTGATAGGTTTCTAATGGTTTCAAAAGAAAGCATCATGACTCCTCAGGGGGGTCTGGGCGGGACCCGGACAGGCTGCCGCCGCGGCTGCCGCCCTACTCGTTTTTCGCAAACAGTCACACACTTCGTGCTCTTCGACTTCCTAGAACTCCGCTCCCGGGCTACATTTTGGATGCCCGGAGCCAACTGTAGGCCACTTCGTGCTCTTCGATTTCCCAGAACTCCATTCCCGGGCCACATTTTGGATGCCCGGAGCCAACTGTAGGCCACTTCGTGCTCTTCGAGTTCCCAGAACTCCATTCCCGGGCCACATTTTATGCCCGGAGCCAACTTAGGCCACTTCGTGCTCTTCTAGTTCCCAGAACTCCATTCCCGGGCCACATTTTGAATGCTGAGGCAGGCTGAGGCTGAGGCTGAGGCAGGCTGAGGCTGAGGAGGCTGAGGCTGAGGCCGAGGCTGAAGGCAGACTGAGGCTGAGGCTGAAGCAGGCTGAGGCTGAGGCTGAGGCAGGCTGAGGCTGAGGCTGAGGCAGGCTGATGCTGAGGCAGGCTGAGGCTGAGGCTGAGGCTGATGCAGGCTGAGGCTGAGGCAGGCTGAGGCTGAGGCCGAGGCTGAAGGCAGACTGAGGCTGAGGCTGAAGCAGGCTGAGGCTGAGGCTGAGGCAGGCTGAGGCTGAGGCTGAGGCAGGCTGAGGCTGAGGCTGTGACTGCGACTGCCGTTGCCGCTGCGACTGTCATCGCGAATGCGACTACGACTGCGAGAACAGCAGAATTCGACAACTGGATTTTCATCTGAATCTTAAGGGGAATGCTTTCAGATATGCTTCTACACATCGCTGTTAGGTTGCTTTGCCCGGATAATTATCAGGGACAATCTTGAATCTCAGACTTGTCTCTTCGGTCCCCGCTTTACAACAGCAGCAACAACGGCCCCGCCTGATACTTCCTCACAATTTATTCCCACCTCGCGCTCTCTCGCGGGACGTCCTCACAATTTGTGTACAAATCGCGCTATCGCGTGGGAGTTTCTCGCAATTTATTCAGACGCCGCGCCCCAAACATTCAGGACTCACCCTCTCGCTGTGGATTTCCTGGGGATTTATTTTGGAATCTCGCTGTCGCTCGAAAATTCCTCGCGATTCATGCAGGACGCACGCTTCAGCAACCCGCCTGCTCGACCTGGCCGCCTGGGCCCGCCTTCCCGACCCGCCTGTTAGGGTCTACCCACTCGATCTGCCCATCTGGTTCTGCAACGTGTTTTCTGCTCCTAACCCCCCTCCTGCTACTCTCTCTCGTGCTCCGTCCTCCTCCCTCCCCCTTGTCCTTTCCTTCCATCCGTCTTCTCCCCCCCTGTCTCAGGGGCTGCACCAAATACACGTTGCAGGTAAGAAAGATACACCCCCAAGGGGGTACGATCGACGACGCAGAGGGCGGGTCTCGAGGGTTTGGGATATATGTGTGACTGGCACGCGGGCAGGTAAGAGCGAACAGTCTTAAACTGATGGTTGTTGTTGGTGTTGTAGTTGCTGGTTGTGCTGTTCTTGCTGCTGCTGTTGTTGTTGCTGCAGTTGTTGATGTTACCTAACAGCTTGTTCTGATAGGTTTCTAATAGGGCAAAAAAAAAAAACAGCAGATGACTCCACAGGGGGGTCTGGGCGGGTGCCGGACAGGGTGCCGCAGAAGTCGTTTTAAGCCAACAGTCACACACTTCGTGCTCTTCGACTTCCCAGAACTCCATTCCCGGGCCACATTCTGAATGCCCGGAACCAACTGTAAGCCACTTCGTGCTCTTCGACTTCCCAGAACTCCATTCCCGGGCCACATTTTGAATGCCCGGAGCCA